GGGCGCTCGCCGTGGGCCCGGCCCGCCGCGCGGGCCGTTCGCAGACTTCAGTTTTCGCACACAAAAGGCGATCCCGTCTCCCCGGGCAGGCAGAGGCCGGCGGTGGCAGCGCGCTGGTGACGCTTCCTTATCAGCGTGTAATTAATTAAGTGTTTTCACTTGGACCGTAAATGTGAGCGAGGTATAGCTAATTAAAATAATAAGACCTTGTTACCGGCGATAGGTGATATCGTATGAATCTTAATTATTTGCTATCAGCGCTATGAAAGAGTCACAATACCACGAAGTGTTGCAGCGTTATTAAATGTTTTGGAAAAGGTGCCTGTAAGGAGCGGAATGGTTTTTTCCGTTCCCGCTTTGCTGAGGGATCTCCCTCAGATGTGAGCTCCGCGGAGCGGGAGGGACGAAAGCTGCCCGCAGCTCTGTCGCGGTCCGGAGCCGGCTGCGCTCCGCGGTACCTGCCCCGCGTCGGAGCTCCGGTGCTCCGCTGCTACAGCACGGTGACAGCGCTCCGCCGCTTCCCACCTTCCCGGGAAGCCGGCTCTTTCCCGGGGGCAAGGAAGGGAATATCTCCGTCCTCACGGCTTGGGCAGATGGCTGCAGGTAGCCCGGGACGGGTCCGGCACCGCTTCATCGCCCGCCTTGCAGCGGTGATGGATGGTGTGCTGCTGCCTGTTGCCGCTGGTAACCAACTTCAGAGTTGGGAGCAAAGACACATACTTGTGTGTGTGTGTTTAGCCCGAAATACCAAAACCCAAACTGTTGTTTTCAAAATATGAGAGACTTTGGAAAAAAAAATCAGTTTTCATTTTTCTTTTGCTGCTGGAGCTGTGTAACGCCCAGCGCTGAATCTTACCTGTCAGTTCATGTCAGTGGAATTTTTTCTGTGTTGATGATTGAAATACAAAACCAGAACGTTTTTGGATTTCTGGATAGCTTGGCTCAATAAACAGCATTTTAAATTAAATGCAGATTTGAATTTATTTTCGTCTCCTTAAGGGATTAGTGTTAGGAAGGAAAGAGAAGGCAGAGTTAAGTGTCAGGTACAATACTTTTTCATACATCTAGATGATTTGGTAGGAAGATTTTTTCGTGATGCATTTTTTTCTTCAATAGCTAGAACAATAAAGTTGAATAGTCTTTGTCTGTTTTTATCATATTTTTAGTTATTGTTGAAGAAACCTACTGTACATTTGAAGCAGCTGTTGTGTTTTTGAGAACATTTTATTAAGTGTTAAAGGCACTGAAACATTGGAATAATGAACACAAAAAAGAGTAGGTACTTTTGATATTGGAGACTGTTGGTTCTTGAAGTTCCACAGAAAGGGAAAAAGCATTTTTTTAAAAAAGTTTTTGAAGTCATTGTAATTAGCTAAGAGGAACGTATCATTTATAAACTATTCAATAGCACTTCGTTAGCTAGAGAAATGGATGAGGGATGAGGGATTTAAGTGAGCTTTTGTGATGATGAGGATTTCAGATAATTTGACTGCTGATGTAAAACGTTTTAAGTTACTGCAAAGACCGGATAACCAAGTTCTTACTGTAAGATAGTCTTTCCAATAGTAACTAAATAGTTTCAGTTATTTTTACCTTCTCTAAATTTCTGGTTTTGTGTGTTTCTTCAGAGTATACTGTAAAAAACCTAGAACAGTGAGAATGCACCATGGTAATGGTCCTCAGAATGCCCAGCGCCAGCTCCAGAGGTCTAGGTCCTTCACGGGCAGCGAGGGAGAAGAGCAACAGGCAAATTTACCCCAGTCCCCTGCAGCTTCTTTTGCACCTTCTGCAAGTCCATCTGCACCCCAGTCTCCCAGTTACCAAATACAACAATTTATAATGAGTCGAAGTCCAGTAGCTGGGCAGAATGTGAACATCACGCTGCAAAATGTTGGACCGGTGGCTTCGGGAAACCAGCAGATCACACTTACCCCATTGCCAATTCCAAACCCAACATCGCCGAGTTTTCAGTTCAGTCCTCAGCAGAGGCGGTTTGAGCACGGATCTCCGTCGTATATTCAAGTTACATCACCGCTGCCTCAGCAAGTTCAGTCTCAAAGCCCTACGCAGCCTAACCCCGTGCCAGTGCAAACGTTACCAAACGTTCGGGCAGGCACTCCAGGGCCTGGCTTGGGTATGTGCAGCCAGAGCCCTACGAGAGGATTTGTAGATGCTAGCGTGCTCGTGAGACAAATCAGCTTGAGTCCTTCAAATGGTGGACACTTTGTGTATCAAGAGGGACCAGGAATTGCACAAATTGCCCAAGGAGCTGCTGCGCAAGTACAGCTTCCGTCTTCTGGGACACCTGCTACAGTAAGGGAACGCAGGCTTTCTCAACCTCACTCGCAGTCTGGAGGCACCATTCATCATCTTGGTCCTCAGAGTCCTGTAGCTAGCGGAGCAAATATGCAGTCTTTGACTAGCCCGGGCCACATTACGACAACCAGCTTGCCACCCCAAATCAGCAACATCATTCAAGGGCAGCTTATGCAACAGCAGCAGCAAGTGCTTCAAGGACAGCAGCTGGGTAGACCCATTGGATATGACAGGACTTCTGGTGGATTGATAGCAGGAGTCGGAGGACCTAGTGCATTTGGAATGACGTCACCACCTCCTCCCACAAGTCCTTCACGGGCTACTGTACCACAGGGGCTGTCGAGTCTTCCTCTTACTCCTACAGTTAATACAGCGGTGAAGAAACAACCCAAAAAATTGGAGGAGATTCCTCCTGCCAACCAAGAGACTGCTCAAATGAGAAAACAATGTTTGGATCATCACCATAAGCAGATGGAAATTCTTAAGGAAACTTTTAAGGAATGTTTGATTGAACTGTTTTTCCTGCAACATCTTCAAGGGAATATGATGGACTTTTTAGCTTTTAAGAAGAAACATTGTGTTCCACTGCAAGCATACCTGAGGCAAAATGACTTGGACCTGGAGGAGGAAGAAGAGGAAGAACAGTCTGAGGTTATCAACGATGAGGTAAGAAATCTGTTGGTTAACGTTTTGGAATAGGATCGTAGATGAAGTTGTGGCACCTGGATTGTGAAGTATTAGAGAATGTGACAATACCTGACAAATCGTTTTTACTTGATGAAGTACAGCATTTTTTTTTTTAAATAGTTGGTCTGAGAGACTGTGGTTCTGCTAGGTAGTGGGATTTGACAGGTCGGTTTGAGTGTGCTGTTAGATGTATGTATTTAAAAGAAAAGAACAGAGAGGTGAAAGGAGCTTTAACTGTCCTAGTGAGTATGTAAGCCAACACACAATAGAGATGGCATTGGTGTGAAAGCTGTTTTAAGGTATGAGAATGAATATGAATAGGTATCATAGGCTAAATTTCACTTACCAGGCTTACATAAACCAAAAAAGAATACGCAAAAAGTCCTGTAAGAGGTTAACCTTTATTTGCCTCGTGTGACTTCTAACCATAGATGTTACCGAAGTTCAGTGTTGCTGTGGCCAGCAAAAAAGTTGAAGTAATCTAATTACTCAGAGAGAACATGTGAATCGTAATGTGTGTGGGTCTGTAGTAGGGAATCAGGTTACAGTCGTAGAGCCCTGTGCAGGTATTGCTGTCTAAATGATTCAACAAACAGCTTACAGACTGGACGTTAACGAGTTAACTTCGTTATTTACGCAAAGGTTTACAATTACTACTGACTTGAATTCAGTGTTTATTAATGGCAAAGGGCCTGAAATAAGCTTGCCACGGGCAGATGCCGTGCAACTTTTCCTGCACGTGTGTACCTGTTTGTGTGGCTCCCGACCTGCAGCACCCCGGTGGGTGCTGGAGCGGTGCCCGTCTTGTGCAGCGCCTACCCGCAAGCCTGCATGGCGGGTGGTTGCCACGGAGTAGATGCAATTGATGCCACAGCATCCCTTGGCACTCACAAATACCTTTTAAAATTTGTAAAAGTATGTATGGGTATATAGTTGTCAGTTTGTAAAGAACCAAACCAAACCTGTTATGTAAAGAAACTTATACTGCTTTGAAAGAATCTGTTAGAAACGGGTGTCTTCAGTGGAAATTGGTGACTCTCAGTGTGAATCAGTAGTGTTCCTATCTTCAGTTGGAATTTGCGGGAAATTTTAGCAGTATAACAGCTGAAGTGTAATTTGTTCATTGCTTTGTGGTCAAAACTTCTTGACTAGGAAAATATATTTCTAGTTGCAATAGCTATTGATAATTTTGAAGGAATCATTTCTTCCTATGTATAGTAACGTAAAAGCTAGCCTGTTGTTGTAATTTGTTGACAATGGATATTCAATATTTTTTTTTCACCTGGTTTGTGTTTTGTCAAATTGTTTAGGTGTTCTTGTTGGGTTGCGTGTTTGTCAGCTGAAATACCAGGTATTTTTAACTACAGTATGCACATTTCGAGAGATCTGTAGTGGGTGTAAATTGTACAGATTCGTTGAAATCAGTGGCACTACTGCAGTTTACATCAGTTGAGGCTCTATCCCTTGGTCTTTTGGGTTTGGAGTTTGCTGTACTCACTGCCTTCCTGCGATGGGTTGTCTTTTGTTTGTGAAAGCTGCTTGTCCGTTCAACTGCTGGAGAGTTTTGCAAAGTGCCACAGCGAAAGTCTTTATGTGTTTTCAAATGCTGAATCCTTTTGAAAGATTAAGACATCTTTTGAGTATGTTCTTTCTTTGTATTTTTTTGTCGTCTTCTCTTTTATTTCCCCCTCCCCCCTCTGTATCACTTTCTGCTAAAGCAACGCGCTTCATCCCTCGCCTGGAAAGGTTGATCACTTGGGGAATTCAAGGGGCGAGTGAATGGTGGCTGTGCTCATTGCTTAAATAAATGTTGGAGCTCTCTTAAGTTCAGACTGTCTGTCATGCTAATTTGTTGTCCATTAGGAGCAGCAATCATTCAATTTAAATCACACTTTTCCGTTAAATGGATTTAAGAAAAGGTTTTCAGCGGTGAGAAGTCACTGCAGATAGTCACGCCGTGCCCTGTTCTGCCATTAACAGTGAGACAGAGCTGCAAGGGTGGCCCGCGGTCAAACCGCGCCGTGCTGGTGGTCATGTAGGTATTATGATCCCCTCTTCAGCGAGGTACCATCAGTGCAACAGGAGTGTGTTGAACAGTACAAAAATCAAGAAGAAAAACTTTTAAAAAGAAAATGATTCTCCCTTCTTTTTTTTTCCCAAAATATTTCTCTCAGGTAAAGGTTGTGACAGGAAAGGATGGGCAGACTGGTACTCCTGTCGCTATAGCAACCCAGCTTCCTCCAAATGTTTCTGCTGCTTTTTCATCCCAGCAGCAACCATTTCAGGTACTTTTCAATGGTTCTAAAATGTAGTTTCATCCCAGATTTTTTTTCCTCATTCAGATTTGATATTTCTTAGATGAATTAGAATTTTCCCAAGAGCCCATCCCTTATCATCTAAATAAAACAAAAAAACCACTTTGCAATCTTCAAATGCATCAGTATTAATGAAGCCTTGAGGAAGTTAAAACTTTTGTCTCCAGGTTGCTGGCTTATTTCATTAACTTTCAGCTTGAATGTTTTCACTTTGGTTTGTTTGTCTTTTGTTTCCCTAATGCATTCGGTTCATTTGTGCATTCTGCATAGTGATAATATGGATTCTTTTGTCTGTGGCATTGTAATTGTGGATTTCTTCTAAATTTCTTTTCTTTTTTTTCCTTATCTGTTTAAGGTTTTGAGTATGACTACAGAAGGTTTTGGATTTACCTCCCCTGAAATGTTTTAACAATAATAACACTCTGACACAATTTTTTAAAATAACTAACTGCTTTCTATTAGCTCTACCATAAATGTTGGGAAGAAGAAACTGAAGTGCTTGTTTTTATTATATAAGTCCTTTTTAAAAATGTTTTCCTTTTTTTTTTTTTCATTAGAGAGCGAACAAAGTAAAGAAATAAATGTGATAATCAGTTAAAATTTCTGTGGATTAGTGATGATGCAGCTTTTAAGTTCAGGCTCATATGGGTTTACGCAGCTTTCTTCAAATCTGTGCTACCCAGACATCGTTGCTTTTTTATACCCTGAGAAGTAATATACCCTAATTCTCTGCAACTAAAATATTTGCCTTTTAGCTCACTTCTGTACACTTGAATAGCAGGTATTGTGGGGTGAATTACTCTGCTGTACCATACAGCACTGCCTTCATCTAGGTTTCGCAAAATGGAGAGTTAAATGACATGCAAAATGAGTCGTATTCCTGTGTGTAACAAATGGGATGTGCACTGTGGTATTTTACAAATGAGTTGCACAGTAAAGGCACTTGCACTGAGAGCTCTTTGTTACGGCCAGTTCTGACATGTCTTGGAAGCTTCTCTGGGTAGTCAGGCTTCAGCTAAGCTGGTTAAAATACATAATATTGTATCTGGTTATTGATTATAGTGATTAGGGTTATCATCAACCTCTAGCTGCACCAATGATGAAGTGCTTTTGAAATTACGCCATTTCAGAGCTGTTTCAGAGAAACTAGCATGCACATGCTAAAAACGTACAAAACTCTCTATGTAATTGCGATAATACCTTTTAGCACAAACTGTGAACAGAAACTGTAATCTCCTTCCATCAGTCTTTGTCCTTGTAACTGTTCATAGAGAAATAATGTGTCCCGATCAGCAGCATCATTCAAATTTGAGTGTGTAAGTGCAGCACTCAGAGTGATTATTGTGGGCGTGCTGCATAATCATGACCTCTGGAGAACTACATTATTTTAATTAAAGTTAGGACAGTTTTAGTCTAATATTAGTGGTATATGACTGCAATTTATAAAGACATAATATCTTTGCTCTTTGAAGCGTCTGGCCCAAATTACACGGTGATAATGCAGACTGCTGGGAGACATACTCTTAAGAAAATGTCAGTCAAAAATTCTAAAGTAGAGATGCAATCTGAAACTGTGAGTATGCAGTTATCCATAAGAGCAAGAGTGCAGGTGAAATAAATGGCATTTGAAGCAGAGTTTGGAGAACACACTTTCTTCAACAGATGTCCCAGAAAGCATTTGATGCAAACAGGACACAAACTGAATTTGTTAATTAATCCAGTAGCATTGTAGTAAATACATTTTTGTGACTTATTTTGAAAAATCTGTAAAGACCTAAGTGTGTGATACTCTGCCAGACACTGGCCATTGGACTTGACATATCCTGCATGTCTGCCTTATGAGAAGACGAACATTTGAAAACTTGATCCATATTGAGTGTGATACAACAGTGAACCATGACCATTAGGGATGAATATGAGCCAGAGATTCTGAAAACCAAAATTCACATCTCGAGGCTATAGCTGTATTGCTAGAGTGGCCACAAATGCCCTCACAGCAGCATAGAGATGAAGTGTTATTAACTCATAGCTATTGGTAGAATCTGAGTGGCGTAAGATGTATTCAGCTCCAAAAGGCGTGTTTGAAACCCAGATGTTTCAGTTGGCCGTAGCTGTTCGATGAAGCATTGAAGATGCAGGGTTGTGCCTGCTGCGGTTTATTTCAATATAGGCTGGTGTTTACTTCCCAGGGCTTAATTTGCATTGGTAGAATTTCTGTTCTCTGTTTCTCTGAAAATCAGAGAAGAAAAGACCTGTGAAGAAACTAGAAGATTATTTGGAGAAATTGCTGTCTTTGCTATGTTGTCATAATAAATTTTCACAACATTCACAAACCCTTACTGTACATTGGTATGACAAAGGCTCTCACCATCAGAAAATTACACTTAGAGAACTTGAGTGCTCAATTAGCTCATTTTCTAGGACGCAGAGTCTGCCATACATAAAGTCTGTATTTTCTGGTAGGATGTCTTAAAACCTTTCTTGGGATAGCCCTTGTTTTTCTCATATCAAGCTTCGTAGTAGAATATTGGGTATAGCATGACTAGATATTGAGGAGAATTAAAAAGTATGACTTGGAAACTTCCTGAAAGGAATTGGGCTTGCACAAACACTGGTGGACATTAGTAAGTCCTTGCCAGTAGTGCTGAGAGCCCAGGGTGCATGGGAATCGTCATACGCTCAAGCTTGTTTGCTTCAATAATCTTGTACATGAGTTTGCCTTCTCAGTTTGATGCTGAAAGGATTATCCAGGATATATTCTCTGCCATCGTTGCCATTATTAACTGTAGTAATTTAAAAATAAAGTTTTCATGCACTGTGTAATCTTAACTGAAGCTAAACTCCAACTTGCTGAATCAAACCCCGGTGAGTTCTTTTGCATCTCAATATCAGTAGTGTTTTTCCAGGCATGTTAATTCATAGTTGTGTGATGTTTATGCTCAGACAAAATGTCTAGTGATTTCTGATGAGCTCTAATGTCACATTAGCCTTATGGCAATATTGTGTTTCTCCTCATCAGATTTCTTCATGGTACTCGTTTTGCCAGCTGTGCAAACAAACACATGTCTAGCATCTGGAAAACTGGGATTGGAACTTGTGTAACTTGGCTGAGATGTTTTTATTCCATCTTCTGAGCATTAGCAGTTTTTCCTGTAATATTTCAAGGCTAACTCTCATGGAGCTGTATCCTGAGAGTGACAGTGGTGGAGATGCAAGTAAGCTTAAACTGTCTTCGGGACGAGAGTTAATTTGTGTGTTACTGATGTTTCACACGGAGTGAAAAGGATTAGCTTTTGCAGATGTATTGACTCTCATTTCCTACTTTTGTGTCTTGTCAGTTATGATACAGTTTATGCGTAAATTCTCTTTCCTCATCTAATTTCCCTTCTGTTAATCCTGTAATGAAGTCACAATATTTAATTTTTGTCATGTCAGCTTTTTATTGCAGCTATGTGAACGCGTCATTTTGACTTCATTGCAGCATTATGCAAATGTGAAGGGTAATACATTAATGAAAATTTCCATTTATTAAAAAAACTCCCCAAAACATTGGACAAGTTTATATTTCACATATCCTACTTTCCTGGGTTTACTGTCACTTTTAAAAAAATACAGACATGTATTTTACATAACCAGCTTCATCAGTTTAGTTCCTGATTTAAAATTTAAACTCAACAAGGAGTATCTGTGCATTATGGACATCTAAAACTTTGTAGCAGGTATTGAACGAGTCTTGTTTTCTCCATTGTACGACTGTTTGGAAGGATTTGTTCTGTGCTGGCCTCTTTAGATCCGTTTGTAAATTACATCTTGGTGTTAAACTATCTACAGATTGAACTTTTGTGATTTGTTTTCTTTTTTCAATAGCAAACACATACAGGGACTGCAGTAACGGGGACTGTGAACACCATAGAAATTGAAGCTTTTAAGAGACAGCAAGCACTTGCACCAGCAGGTATGTTCTGCTGACAGAATTTCACTTTGGTTCTTTTTTTTTTTTTTTTTTTTTTTTCCCAGACAGTTAATGGAGCCCACTGTTTTGTAGCTCTTGAAATACAGTTTTGCCTCACCTCAGGAATTGCCGGATTCTTAGGACTATCTGTTGTGAATGGTGCTGTGTGAAGAATGCACTCCACTCACAACATCTAGGACTGGATTTGGCAGGCATGGAGACGTTGTTAGGTTGATTGTTCTGGCTAAGAAGATTGGAGATGGCCAACTTGAAGTTAGAGGGACTCTGCCCTTGAAGCATGTTCTTCATAAATGCTACACATGTATAGTAGTTATAGCTTTCTGAGCTGATGTTGGAATCATGTGTAGTAGTTTGCTTTGTAAAATTGAACCCATTCCATTATACCATGCCATAAATGGAATTTGAATATCACAGATTCGTCTAAGAGACCACGAATTGAAGTGGGCCGTCATGGGATGGTTTTTCAGCACCCGGGTGTGGCTTCAGGAGTTCCTCTTCAACAGCTAATGCCAACGGCACAAGGTACTGTGTCACCACATGCCAATTGCACATTAATTTAACAAGGAGATGTTAGTGATGGGACTAGAAACTTGGGCTTCCAGCCTTCCAAGATCCTAGTCCCACCACTCACTTCTCCATGTAAATTAATACTTGGTATGCAATGCCTGGTTTGTTGAAGGAGCTGAGTGACGGGCTCCGAAGGTGCATGTGGGCATGGAAATACGTCACAGGTGCTGATGCAAAATGGTTAATCTGAGAATTCTGGAACTGAGCCAATGATTTATGAAAGGAAACCTCCTAATTTGCAACATCACGACAAATTTTTGTTCGTTAGTCATGCCAAGCTTTAGAATATGTGTTAGAGTGAATGTGTTAAGAACTAAACATTATTTAGACTTGATGCTGTTATTTTAGGTATTACTATTTCATTAGCTCACCCGTCCTTTTTTTTTTTCAAGTATAAGACATTTAGAATACATTTAATGACTTTTTTTTATAGTTGCTGTGCTCCAAATTTTAGTTGCCGTCCTGTGCATGTAATACTTTGTTGTTTATTGTAATGGTGATTTCTTTTGTGGTTGTGATGTGAACGTTTACAAGTGATGGTGTCTTGTGGCAAAGTAAGTAACAAATTAGTCTGTGGTTGATTTCCTCTTTATATCAGTAAAAAGCATTGGACATTTTAATTTCATCTGTGCTGTGTTTCCTCTTGCTTTGTAGGTGGAATGCCTCCCACTCCTCAGACCGTGCAGCTCACTGGACAGAAACAGAGTCAACAACAGTATGACCCATCTAAAGGCCCTCCAGTGCAGAACGCAGCCAGCCTGCATACCCCTCCGCCGCAGCTGCCAGGGAGACTGCAACCTGCCAACATCCCCATGACGTCTCTCCCAGCTGCGCTGCAGCTTTCACAGCAGCAGCCACAAATTGTGGAATCTCCAGCTCAGCCCCAGATTCAGGTGAAGATCCAGCCTCAAAGTGTACCTCTGACTTCAACTCCGCTTCCAGCACCTCTTCAACAACAGGTGCCACCAGCAATCCATGTGCAAGGACAGACACCAAACCAAGTGTCACAGCCACAAGCTACCACACAGCAGCAGGTATGTGATCTTTATTGAGGTGAAAATACATTTATTTCAATGCCCAGCAAAATCTAAGAACATGATCTTCTTGAAAATACATGAAACATGTTAACGTTTTTAAATTCCACTGGACACTTAAATCCTTTCCTTATAAAAATGGAGGTGTAAGTTTTTTATTAAATTAAATTTAAGTCCACTTTATGTTCTGCTGTAGTGTAGACTAAGACAGTACTGAATCCTAAACTCACCACTAACAAATGTGTTTCTTGGGCAGACTGTGACACTGACACGACCATCTGCAGATCCTGCTCAGACTTCTCAGCGTCTTACGGCAAATACACTACCGCCTACCTCATCCGTGGCGCCAGCGAGTGTCTCAGGCACAACACCGCCTGCCACATACCCCGCACAGACAAACAGGACCTCTCCAGCAACCAACAAGTCCCTGTCTCCTGTCGCATCCAAACCCCCAGGCTTAGCAGTAGCAGCAGCACCTAAAACGCAAAGCCCAGCTCAGAATGCAGCAGTATTACCACCGGACAACTCTCAAGACAAGCTTGCTGAGCAAGTAAAGCTGGTAAGATTTTTTGATTTTTCCCGAAACTTATGAACAGTTAACACACAAATAGCAATCGACACGAGCAATGTGTTAGATGTATTATTATGGGCTATTTTTTGGGGGACTTTGCTCTTTTTTTTTTTTTTTTTTGTCTGCTTTACATAGTAAGTTTTGCTTTTGTGGGTGTTAAGGTGAAGAAGACTTACTGGTCTTCATATAGTTGTTGCTTTCTTTCTGTTTCTATTATATTGATAATATATTATAATAATATTATATTATTACAC